ACTGTACGGAAATGGATAAATACAACCGGGTTTATCTATTACCGCACATACTCGCCATACCTGAACAAAAGCCACTGTGGTGGTGGTGTGACCTCCCTTTCCCTTTCCTACTTCGTATTCTCAAAACTGCACGACTTTTCACTGCATGTGTGCTTGAGAAAAATATAATAAATGTACGGAAATGGATAAATACAACCGGGTTTATCTATTACCGCACATACTCGCCATACCTGAACAAAAGCCACTGTGGTGGTGGTGTGACCTCCCTTTCCCTTTCCTACTTCGTATTCTCAAAACTGCACAACTTTTCACTGCATGTGTGCTTGAGAAAAATATAATAAAGTATTGTGGAGAGAATGGATTCAGACGTATAGGAGTAATAAGGGTTGAATACAAAGAGACCGGGACGGAGGAGGAGAAGGTCCTTCTGTCCTGGAATTCCAGGGCAGGGCGGGGCTGAGCACCGGCAGGAGCCCATGTTCTGTGGTGTCCCAGGGCCAGGAGGAGCCCGTCCCGGAAAGCCCTGTGTCTGTGGAAGAACGGGGCCCAGCAGGAGCGTTTCCACGACGTGGAGACAGGGCAGAGTCCTTTCCAGCGTTTCCCTCCACTTCAGCTCAGGAGTCCTGCAGAGCACAGGGACAGGGTGTTTCCAGACCTGACTGCCATGGCCTCGTCACCATCTCAGGCCTCTCCTGGCAGCACTGCGGGAGGACGAGAGAAGCGTCTCCAGCTCCCGGGTCAGCTCTGCTTCGGGGCCCAGGCCCTTCATTCGGTGCAGGGAACAAGGCTCAGGGCAAAGTCCTGGCCAGACCCTGGGTCTAAACCTCGCCCAGTGTGTCTGCCTAGTGTCCTGTCACCTCTGCCCTGTGCTGTGGGGAGAGCAAACCTGTCTGAGAGGATGGAAGGGCATTACCTGTTAGCCGAAGTCCAGACTGTCCTGGGAACGAGAAGGAGACAGATATTTAAATATATACAGCAGAGCTGTCCCCAGACACAGTGTCCCCAGCCTCTGGGATTGCTCTAACACCACAACCCACACCAACTAAGACAGACAGGGGACAGAGACTGACAGCCAGAGGCTCAGGAAGTTTTTGTCACACAAATCCAGTGCCTGGTGGTTCCTCCTTCTCCTGTCCTTTCTTAACCCATTGGCCCTAAGCTGGTTAATCTCTCATTTGTAATCCATAACTCAAGTTTCAATCTAGTAACCAGAGACTGTTGATTTCAGAAGTCTTTTGGAATCCTGGGTCACCTGAAGAAAGAACACCTTCACAGGGACTACACACATCCTCAGAACAAAGCAGCGTCTCTTCTCCTGAAACAGCTATGGAGAGCCTCGGCCACCCCCAGGCTCCTCACCTTCCAGATTCTTGAAGTAGACGAACAGCCCCACCCCGAGGAAGAGCAGGCCCAGCACAAAGCCACCAAGTCCGCTCAGCATCTTGCTCTGTGCAGATCCAGACCGTGCCCCTGATAAAGGAAACCAGGTTTAGAGATCTTCAACCCAAATTTAACACACACACCCCCTCACCGAGACCCTGAGATTCAGAGCTTTGAGAGTGGGGATGAAGTCTGTACTAAAGAGCTGGAAAGAGCTGGAACTGGCCACTCCTGGTAAGGTATTTAAGAATCACACTGAGTAGCCACAAGGTTCATACATTGAATTCATTCAAATATCACAGTCCTGAAATATTACCCGAAGCAGAGATATTCTGGTCACCCATGAGGTTACGAATCTCATCTTGCATGAAAGCAAAGCCGATTGTACCTCCAGATGTCAGGACACCCCTACCCCATAGTTCTTCCTCTTAGATCACAATCACATCAGAGGAACAGCTATAGAAACATTAAGTCCATTCCAGAAGCAGGGTCGGGAGCCATAGTGATTCTGTAACAATCTCCCTCCCCATATGTGTGAGGATTAATCCCAAGGTAGTTTAAGACCAAAGAAAGACAGGCAGACCTAGGATCATGCAGAGTATAAATTATTGATTGAGTTAATGGCAGAAGTGTGGTCCTTGGTAGCAGCAAGACCAAATGGCTCCCCAAAATTTGGCTTTGAAAGAGGGGTGTATATATTAGTGAGTATCAAATTGACTTCATCCAAGGCAAATGTACCTAACTCATCTTAAACTAATACCAAAATATGTGGCACATTCCTGGCACTGAGGTCCAGTTGCAAAGTTCTATATACTAAGGTAATAATTTGGTTTATGAAAAAAATAGTCAAGAAAACAGTCTAGGGTCAGGCCTGCGGCAATCGTGGTTGTTATGACTCAGGATGGCGGCAGCTAAGTTAAGCTGAATCCATACACCCTACGCCTTGTGATCTGCTCTCCTGACGTTTGCTCTGAGTTGCAATGGGTTTTGCCATTGTGTAGGCAGCTTGCTATGAGCCCATTGGTCCGGAAGATGAGTAGACTCTATGGTAGTTGGAGATGCAGCACAGACAGAGACAGAGAAGAATTACGCAAGTGGCAGTCATAACTCCTTTCACCAGGAATCTTGGGAACCAAACTAGCAACATGGGAAGTCTGTTTTAGAAGAGGCAGGATCAGACAAGGACTTACTTTCAGTTTTCACATACAACACAAGGTGTGTGATGTTAGGGGTATGTATACATTTCATCTTGAGAGCAGCACGTGTTCCAGAAAAAGACAGCAAAAGCAGCAAAGCCTTAAGCTGCAGTTATGGATGGGAAAATAAATAAACACCTAGTGGTGACTTAGAAATGTAGACATCCCACGTGGCAGTACTACACATCAACTCTGTGAGACAACACGGAGGCAGGGGCGAGTGGCTGGTATGGAGGTACATACTACATGTCAGCCGACAATAGGGGTCCGTGAGTGATTCCTAAAACTAACAGTGAAGCAGGCTGTCAGTCTAAGAGGCCATCTGTAGTGCCTGCAAGTATTTCCTGAGGTACTGACTGAGTGCAGAAACCACAGGTCCAGAGTCAAACAATAGCAACAGGAATCAAGTGGGTTGTGACCAAAGACCTGAATGTCCCTTTGTTTTTGCTCTGCCCATTGGCTACTGATTTTCTCTCATCTCAAGCCAGACAGAATCACCATCAGGCTGCCCAGCAGAAGCAATCAGAGCACTTCTGTTCCCCCTGCTGGACTCATTTGCATATCAAGTATATCCAGCCTCAGGGACCACCCTCTCTTACACTTATGAGATCATAGAAACTGGGGCAGCCACTTGGGATAGTTTCATAGATAACTGAACCCAATGCATCTGCAGCTCTGGAGTCGAATGGCATTGGAGAGACACTGCATTATGGTAAATGCCCACACATCTTATTTAGAGCCCTCTGCACCTTCGAGAATAGAGGCTGGTGAGATAGACCATCAGCTCACCTTTTGTAGGTAGACCAGTAAGCCGTGGTTAGTGGCCGCGCTGTAGCGGGGTGTTGTCACCTCTAAAAGCTGCTGTTCTGAGGAGGTTGTGTAGTTTCGGTTCTCTACTAGAGCTATGACCAGACAGTTAAGAGGTGCACTCTATCCCCATTCTTAGAGAGAGCCCAACTCATCTGCTGTTTATTGGCACGCCTGACTGGAGGGTGTCCAGGATCTGCACCCCATCTGTCAAAATCTTTGCTTTTTTACTGACCTCATGGCTTCCTTCTTAATTAGCCAAGTAGTGAGTGAAGACATTGAGCTAAGTGAGGGATAAAAGCCACTGATGTTAGAGCCCTGTGGAATTCTACACATCTTTTACTGTGGAATAAGATGAGGGCCCCCTTCCTGGTGGGAATCCACAGGGCCAGGGAACTCCCCACTCACTCCACTCCACTGTGACAGGGCTGGGCAGGCTGGGGTGCTCCACCTGGCAGGTGTAAACATCTCCACTCTGAGGAACTGTCTCCAGCATCACCAGGGTCTGGTAGGTCCAGTCTCCATTGGGGATCAGGCCTGTGGACATGACCTCATCCTTCTCCTCCTGGCCATTTCGGAGCCATGTGATTTTAATTTTACTGGGGTAGAAACCACTCACAGCGCAGACCAGGAGGCTGTGGTGCTGTACGTGCTGGGTCTTTGAAGGGTGCACAGTCACCTGGGGCTTTTCTAGTGGAAAAAAGTGGTAAGAGTAAGTCAGGAGTGCAGAGCGACCCTCCCTGGTTGACTGCCTGTCTACCCCATCCACACCCAGGTTGAAATCCTTGCAGCTTCTTTGAGGCTTTCTTTGAAGTGAATCTTTGCAGCAGGACCCCACTGCACCCGAGTAACACCGAGGGAACTGTGGAGTTTTATTTTAAATATTTTATTTATCATTTTTATTTTGTGTATGTGTGTTTTGCTTGTATGTGTGTAAGTGCACGCATGTCGCGAGAAGCCCATGGGAGTTAGAAGAGGATATTGGATCCCCTGGAACTGGAGTTACAAATGGTTGTTAGCTGCCATGTGGGTGCTGGGAATTGAACCCAGGTCCACTGGAAGAACAGCAAGTGTTCTTAACTGCTGAGGCATCTCTCCAGCCCCAGAGTTTTGCTTTATAGCCTAAAATAATATTTTCATTATTGAATTGAAATATTTTCAAGTTTCTGCAAAACATATAGTGTATTAATTAAAGGCAGGAGAGAAGAGCGGTCCTTCCTGGCTTGCGTTCCTCCATCCACACCCAGGCTGAGGTCCTTGCAGGCTCCTTTAAGCTTGCTATGGCCTTGCAGTTAATCCCCATAGGAGGGTCCCATTGTATCTGAGACGCATTGGGGAAAGCTGTGGGACCTCATCTTACAGCTTGAAACGATTATTCACTATTGAAACAATTTTCTGTAAAACATATAGTGCATTAATTAAAAGTATGATTCACAGGGGCTGGAGAGATGGCTCAGCGGTTAAGAGCACTGGTTGCTCTTGCAGGGGACCCCAGTTCGATTCCCAGCACCCACATGGAGGCTACGAACGGTCCTTAACTCCAGTTCCAGGGGAATCCGAAGCCCTCTTCTGACCTCCAAGGCATTGCACGACATGGGTGCACTCACACACATGCAGGTGATACACTCATACACATAAAATAAAAACAATAAATGAAATATTTTTAGAAATAAAAGTATGATTCATAGACTGCTCAAATCAAGAGTTCAGATCCAGGCTCTGCCCCTTATTGGCCGATCCTGAGCATTTTACATTTCTCAGTGCCTCGGCTTTCTTGGTTTAAAAAAGGCTATGGAGGGTGATTTAAGGTAGGGTCTTGTGAGGATCGGTGCTCCTAAAATTCATAAAGCGGTGATTTGAATGTAGCCTTTGGCACAGGCCAGTTGTGTTTGTGTTTCTTATGACTCTAAGCAGTGTGGACAGATCTTAAGGATGCTCCCTCAATGTATGCACATCCTGAAACAGCTTAGGAATGGTTCTACCCTGGGAAGCAAGAATGGGTAGAGGTGCTTCTTGGAGTCCTGGGGTGACAGAAAGCTAAAATGTTTATATTTAGTGCTTGTGAGATGGCTCAGTGGGTAAAGGCACTTGCTGTGAGGCTGGATGACATGTTTGGTCCCCAGGACCCACATGGTGAATGGAGAGAGATAACTTCTGCAAGTTGTCCTCCAACCACCACAGACACGTCATGGCACCCCCCCCACATGCACATGCACACATATACACACATGCACACACACGCACACACGCACACACACACGCACACATGCACACACATGCACACGCACGCGCACACACACACACACACACACACACACGACTCCATCTCACCCACCCGCCCCATGCACCTCCAGTCCCATGCTCACTTTTCAACTTTAACAGGTAGATATCAACGAATTCGTAGTCATTTCTGCACCTGTCCACTGAGGCCCGGTAATTGTCTACGATATCTTTCTGGCTATTCAAGTCATCGGCTATGGGCCGTCCCAGCTCGGTGGTTGCCAGGAACTTCCCGAAGTCACTGTCAAAGCGAGCGAACTCCTCCTGGTTGTAGATGAATCTGGTCACACTCCATACATGCTCCCTCCCGTCAGTGTAATGACACTCAGCCTTTAACTGTAGCAGGAAACGTGCTGTGGGGACAGAAACACAATCTGTTACAGATGGGCTAGGAGGATATCCAAGTGATGCCCTAAATTGGAAGGTCAGAGACATAGTGAAGGGCGCTGGGACACCTGTGAGTGACTCACCTGTCACACTCTCTTACACACAACCACCCACATCCACAGGTACATCTTCATCCCCGGAGGCAGAGAGATTGTTCTAGTTTCCATATAAAATATCCTGACAAAAAGCTACTTAGGGAAGCAAGTGTTTATTTGGCTTTACAATTCCAGGTCACAGTCCATTATTATGGGGAAGTAAAGGCAGGAACTTAAGTGCCACATCCATAGTCAGGAGCAGAGAAAGAATAAACACGTGCACCTTTGCCAGCTTGCTTGATCTCAGATAAATCTCTCCTCTCTTACACCGTTCAGGGACCCCCCCCCAGCCCCCTTGCAGGGAATGGTGCTGCCCACCATGGGCTGGGGTTTCCTACATAAATTAACAGTCAGGACAATCCCCCAAGGACAAGCCCACAAGCCAGGCTGATCTAGATAATTGTCTGTTCTCTTCCCAGATGAGTGAGAGTTAAAAGTAACCAGCACCAAGACCTCGGAGGACAAGGGCAAGCTCCTCATCCAGCTACATCCACCACCCACTGCTCCTTCTGATACCTTCAGATTTTCACTCCTTTCTTAAATAGCACCCATCTAGAATATTCTACAAAATGTCTCTGGGGGTTGACCCTGTGCCAGACCTTGACGACCCTGGGAATTCTGAGAAAATCAGCCCTCTCCTTCCACTTAAAAGGAGTGAATGTGGGAGATGAAATAATTCAAGGAGAAAATTCAAAGAGAAGTGTGGATTTCTACTAACAGAGAAAATCAGGATGACACACAGGACAGGAGGGCGCTGGAGAAAGACGTGGAGTGACAGCTCAGCTGTGCTGTGGATGATGAGTTGGCAAGAGCCCGAAGAAAGAGGGTGGTGAACGAGCACATCCTGTGGGTGTGAGTAATACCATTCAGATGAGTAATACCATTTGCAAAAGGCTTGGAAGAGTCGATGAACTCCTTCAAGAAGTCAGGGAGCAACAGGACACAGAAAGTGGGAGAAGGGGAAGAGAGATTGGACTGCAAGAACCATGGGGTGCTTTGAAGACCTGGGGTCCTGAGTGAAAGGAAACTATGGAGCCTGGTATTGTGGTGCAGGCCTTTACTCTTAGCACTCAGGTGGCAGAGGCCGGGGTGGGGGCTCTGAGGGTTCGAGGCCAGCCTGGTCTACATAGCAAGTTCCAGCCAAGCCAGGGCTGCATAGTAAGACCATGTCTCAAATCAGTCAATCAGTCAATCAATCAATCAATCAATCAGTCAATCAATCAGTCAATCAATGGAAGGAGGTTGTGGTGGAGTTGGTAGCTGCTATGGACGGGGCATCTGTGGGAACAACAAACAGGTAGGTTGGTCTTAGTTGGCATTGAAAAGTACACATTGTGGCAGGCAGTGTAGATGTCACTTCTAATCCTCAACAGCTCTGTGCAGTAGACTGTCTCTATCGCTTCATAACAGAAGCAACTCACATGTGGTGGGGTCGAGACTTCTCCACAGTCATGTGTTCCCTGACAGATCAATAGACAGGAACGGGGAAATCCAGCCATGGTGTCCTAGTGCAACCACTCCATACACTTCATGCAGAACTTTCTGGATAGATACCAGGCAAGAGAGCAGAACACAGGCACCTACGCGTGATGAACCAGGGGGTGGGGGGGGCAAAGGAAAAATGGTATTTTAAGGACAGAGATGGGAGGAGAAGTCTGAATATCAGCCAATAAATGATAATTACCCTAAACAAAACAGAGGTGCTGTGGTGACCCAGGGGAAAGAATAAAGTGAATTGCAGCCAGGCGTGGTGTATGCCTTTGATTCTGACTACTTGGGAGGCTGAGACAGGAGGATTACAAGTTTAAGGTCTATCCCAGCTATGTAAGGAGTTTGGTGCTGGCCCAGGCAACTTATCAACATTCTGTCTCAAAATATATATTAAAAAAGCAAGAATAGTGATTCACCCAATGGTAGACAAGTTGCCTACCACACCCAAGGCCCTAGGCCTGATCCCCAGTACTGGAGAAAATAATGAACTTCAACTTTAACCCTAGGTTCCCAGTTGGAGGGACGTATTAGTTTTGCCTGATTGCTATAACTAAGTACCTAACAAGAAACAAGATAAGGGCAAAAGAGTTTATTCTGATTTACAATGTGAAGGGTTATCATCTATCATATAAAGTAGGCAGGACATGAGGTGGCTGGTCACATGGCCTATGCAGTCAGTAATCCAGGCTACAAAACGGCATGGCTCACCCATAGTGACCCACCTCCTCCAGCGACACTCCATCATCTCCTAAAGGTTCCACAGGCTTCTAAAACAGGACAACCAGCAGGGTTCTGAGTGTTTGCTATGGGGGACATTTCACATTTCAGCCACAGCAAGGGGAGGACCCCACATGGTAAGAAAAAGTTATCAGGAAAGTACCAGCAGCCCCAGCCAGGCAGTCTTAATGGCAGGTGAATTTGACAGTTCTTTCAAACTCAAAATACAGTCTGGGGAACTTGCTGGTCTAAGAGTGACTGGGCAGTTCCAAAGAAGGAATTCACATTGGCCCTCACAGTGTTAAGAACCCATGCTGATTGGTCAGTCACTTCTTGACGACATCTTTTTAGGCAGCCCCATCCAGAATGCCAGCAGAGGCCTTCAGTAGAATATAACTCCCTCAGCATCTCTTAGGACCAATGGTTGCCATGGCAACAAGCCCCCCCCCCCCGGCTCCCCCTGCTTACCCCTTGAGGTTTGGAAAGTCCCTCCATTCCTGCCGCAGCCTTGGGAGTGCAGCTGCTGGTGCAAAGAACTGACTTCACTTGTCCCTTCCCATCTCGGGTTCCTCCTGCTGTTCCGGGATTGTAGCTTCCAGTGTCCCCAATTTCTAGAACTCACCTTCCTGCCCTTGGGAATGTAGCTCTTGTAAAAGGCTTTGGCATCATTCAAGTTGTCCCTAGTGACCAGGGGGAAGGTCCCATCCATGTCCCAAAGCTCTAAGACTCTAGCAAACAACGCCGTGAGCCCTATCCTCATCGAGCTTTCCACGGGTCACCTACAAACTTCCCATCCATGTCCAGCCTCAGGGCTGTGGACACAAAACTGCAAGTCTTGGCACTACTGTGTTTTACCTATAGGGCTTAAAGAGGGTATCCTCTACTCCCTGCAGTCCCAGGGTGTAGACTATCATGCTATAAGCCTAAACACTACCAACTTATACCGTAGGCAACCCAGGGAAAGTCTCAATAACCCAGGACTCTAGACAAGAGCGTCTGGTGCCAGAACCCTGACATCAATTTGCTTGTCTCTTCTGACCCAGAGAAGGAACCATCTGTATACCACAGCTTCACCAAGGCTGCTGAGAATGTTACAAACCTCAGTACCAACCAGAATCACATCAAAGCACACAAGAAAGTTCCCCTTTCTGTTCCACAGCCTCAAGTGTGTGGTTACTGGTGCCACAGTCCCCAGCATCTGATCAGTTCTCAGGGAGAAGATCACCTCTCAGGACCCGGGGAAGGAGCCGTCCCATTCATGGCTCCAACAATCATGGCTGCTCAGTCTGTAGACTCAGTCCTGAGCGTCCTGGGGAAAGTCTGCTGTGGTGTGAGGACTGGAACTGTTGTTGTTTTAACCTTGCTGTCACCTGTACTTGTGCTGAGAGATCTCAGGTCAGTCCTTTCCACATCCCATACCAAGTCTGAAACAGATCCTGCGGCAAACTCCACTGCCATCAGGGCTCAACGCTGAGGAGACTCAGAGCACACACCACTGGAAGCCTACGTCCACTGGAAAGTTGTACAATTATCTTTACGAGTACCTGAAGGCACAGATAGTTAATGCTGACATCAATCAAAGACGACAAAATCTCACAGAGTACACTTGTGAGTTCTACTGTAACCAAGCCCCAAACATCCAACTAACTGACTTTCTATACCCTATCTAAATGAAAAGTAATTTCCTACAGGATCTAATAAAATTGGAAGAGGCAGATGTTATATTGGCTGCTCAGGTTCTGGTCAAAGAACACATGATCCAAAAAAGGAAGCCTAATTCCTCTAAACAGAAGTCATAATTCTGCATGAATAGATGCCAATTTGAAGGACACATATGAAATTTCTGAAGAATTCAAAATAACACAGTTACAAGATACAAGAAGCTCAAAGAACCTCAAGTAGTTTCCACCAAAAAAAAAAAACGTTCACCAAGGTACATCACACTTAGAGCTAACAGACTATAGTGAAATGAAATCACAAACCAAAGACAATTAGAAAAACAGAAACAGTGGAAATACACGGAGACTGATTACAGGGCACACTCCCGATGGTCAATGTATGACTGAAGAAATTAAAAGAAGGAAAATTAAAAAAAAACCTTTCCAGAAACAATGGAAGATGACCATGTAGCATATCAAAATCTGTGGGTTTCAGCAAAAAGAGAAATGACTGGGAAGGTGTGGGGTGTTTTGTTGCTGTTGTAGATTTTTGTATTAGTGGATATTCATTGTGCAAAGGATCTCGTAAGGACATTTTCAGTCTAGAATGTCAGACAGTTTGACCATATTTGCCCGCCACCCCCTCCTGTCTGCCCTACTTCCCTCCCACTAATGTTTCATTTTCCAAAAGAGTCCACCGTCTGCTTTCAGATTCCGCCTATGTCCTTCCAAGTCTGGCCTGTTTTACCCAACATGATGATTTCTGATCCTATGCATTTTTCTGAAAAGAACGTAATTGTGATTTTGTTAATTTTATTCTTCTTTATGGCCAAATAAGACTCAAAGTTTTAGTAATAAACATACATATTAAAATAGAATGATCTAGTTCTGGTCAGATGGCTCAGAGGTTAAGAGCATATACTGCTCTTCCAGAGGATCTGAGTTCCATTCCCAGCACCCACATCGGGCAGCTCACAACCACCTGTAACTGTAGCTCCAGGGGCT